TCATAAGTGAGAATGAGCCGGAAGAGTTTGAGCCTGAAGCGCTGTTTGAGTTCGACATCTGAAAACGAAAAAGACAAAGTCTGATTAGATAAGAATCCCCAATTAAACACCCAAATGAGAAATTAGGGCTAGGATCCAACAACATTCTTTACAACTTAAAAGAGGGATGTAATTTAAATTGAAAATTATTTGAAGGTAAGTGAATGACGATTCACTAATTTCCACCATGAAAAACAAAAAATTATTTAGTTTTAAATGTATTGAAAACTCCTAGATCTTTTGAGATTCATTGAACTTTTCAATGACATGTTTAAATCTTGATATTCCCTTCAAGTTTGTGACTGGGATACTGAGGATCACAAACAAGGTGTGAATAACCATGCAAATGTACATGGTGCCCCCAATGTTACAGTCACCTAATCATTGTGTCGGTTAGCCACACACGCTCCATTGATCTATGACAAACATCGAGTCACTCTTTGCCACCTTTTCTTAGGCCAAATTAGTGTGCCGGTTAACCACACACGCTCCACTAACGTTTTAGCAAGGGTACAAACTGTAATTTCATGGAATAGCATCAAATTCACATTTTTCCTAAAGTAACTAAGATTGGGAATTTTATAAAAAAACATTTAGTTACTTTATTAATCGTTATACTTTTAATGAGGAATTAGATGTCCTATCCTACCCGTTCGGCTAATGACCCTCCACCAATCAAGGAAGCGGTGGGTGAGAGTGGATACCCATTAAAAGACCATTTTATAGGTCATAACCTTATACACCCTTATAGATCGGTTTCGTGAACGAAGCCTACTAACAGTAAGACTAGCATTTATCTTATACATATATAATAATTATTCTTATAATATTACAATAGTATAGGGAAGATTTTTAAACTTGTAAAATTCTAGGGTTTGGAATTCAATTATTTCAAAATTAAACTTTTTAATCAAAATGTAAATTCCAAAACTTGAGGGCAAGTTTTATAACATTTCAAAACTATCTAGATCAAAATTCAAATAAACAATTAAAAAATTAATTTTGGTAATTATCTAATTTTGACCTAATCTTATTTCATGCAATATAATTAATCAAATAATTCAAATAATTAACATTTATCAAATAAGGTAATAATTATCTAATTAAATGACAAATATCTTTTATGTTGACAGAGATAATTATAAGGAATCAATAAAATTTGGATTTTATCAATTAAAAGAAATTATGGTAATTATCTCAAGTCAAAATAAGCAAAATCCAGAGTTTCCCTCTGTCTGACAGCCCGACTCGCCGAGTCCCCTTTTGGAATCGTCGAGTTCATCTGACTCGGCCAGTTCACTTTGGGAATCAACAAGTCTGCCAGGTAGAAGGCTAGAAAAATGATTTTAAGCAAAGGAAAAAACACACAATTCATCAAATACAATAGAAACCAACCAAGACTTTGATACCACTGATGGGTTTTGAGCAAAAGAGCATCATATGTGCACATGCAAAACCCTAAAGCTTTGGATCTAGGTTTCTTTATCGTACATGCAAATTTATCCAAAGCTTGTAAAACCTAATCTAGCATACAACAAAACTAATTGAATACCAAATAAACAAGTTAGATGAATACCTTGATTGTTGATTGTAGATATTGAAGCTTTGAGAACCTTAGCACCCCAAATGTTGTGCCTCTAATGAATCACAAACACCACAAGAAATTGGATGAAGCAAGAGAGAGAGAGAGAGAGAGGGGTGGAGAAGGAAAAATCGGCTCCAATACTTTTAGGGTTTCAGTGTAGTCGAAATCTCATGCCCAATGGGTCCTTTATATAGGTGTGGGAATTCAGGTTTCAGTGATTATCCTTATCTGGTTATTAGCCACCAAGCAGCCCAAGGATAATTCTAGAAGCCCCTTGGACGAATTCCTAAGCCCTTATCCTTAGAATTCGTCCACCCTATACTCTAGGGTTTCCTTACCCAACTTTGCAACTATCACTTAATTACAAGTTCAGTCCCCTTTATTCAAATAACCTCTTTTGACCACAAAATTAATTCTTAATTAATTCTTGACCAATGTTAATTAAATAAATATGATTTCCTTTAATATATTATTCTTATAATATATTAATAAACCATAATAACCTCTTTCTCCATTATTTATCCAATCAAGTTGCTTTGGTGAAGGCAACCCAAAAGGACCCTGCTACAACCGGGTCAAGTACATACCAAATATAGTTATGGACTTAGACACTAATCCAACAAATTCATCTCCTTAAAGAGGAAAGGAGGTGATAAAAAGACATACTAGAATTACTAGAAATACTAGGTGAAAAAGCTGACATACGAGATTTACTCGATCTTGTCCTAGCAACTTGACTATAAAATAAGAGCTATACGACAACAAGCATTAAATGCAGATACAGACTCAAAACATCACTGATTACAATGTATCTCGGAAAGAGCATCATCTCGGAATAGCTTGACTTCGGAATGCTTCTCTACTTCGGAACACCTTGACTTCAGTTTCCTAAGGATCGCTTTTCATGTATTAACAATATCCCCCAAAGTAACCTTAGCTAACAAACTATTCTACACTTAGCTTCATCGAAAACAAAAAGATACGCCTTCTGGAGCCAGTTTTGGACTTCAATATACCAACTGAGATGCTTAATGAATTTTTTCTTGATGTGCTCAGGGGACTCACTCTTGGCAGCATTAATGATGAACTTTTTAAGGATCTCTGTTGGAACAAGATTTTTATCAAGAACTGAAGAATTCCTTTTGATTGGTCTTCTTCTTGAGATAGAGGTAACCAAGTTCTGGTTCTTCAATAGGGCCTTCTACTAGGATCTGTGCTTCAGGGAGTTCAGTGATGACTTTTGCCAAAATGTTTTCAGTACCGAAGAGGTGAGCAAACTCAATGTCGGATTTGTAAAATTCAGCAATGTAGTCCTTTAGGAAGCTTATTGCAACATTGTAGGCTCCGATGCTAAATTCGCATGATTGGCAATCTCATAAGTGAGCATCTATGGTGACAATAACGTTTAGGTTGATCAAAGGAAAATCAACATCTGTGATTGTGATATTGGTTTCATTGTTCCGAGAAACATAGAATGTGCACAACATGCAATTGAGATCAAACTAACTATGAACCTGGCTACCAAATTCGATGATCTTGGTGATTCGTTTCCGAGACCATACTTATTTTTGGGGTTAAGCGTTAACAGATTAGGGATGCCTAGCATCATATTCGGATTGTCTTTGGTTGCTTGAATCTGAATGCTTTCTTCCAAAGCTTAGTTTATTTGTTCCTGAGACCAGCCCTCAGACTTTCTAAATGTCGCTCAGTTCTGATGAGGGTTTAATGATCATCAAATGGATGAAGAGGAGTGAATTTGATGTAGAATTGACCATGTGTAAAGAATGGCAAGTCAACGTGATCAACATCTTATGTCAGAAAATCATAGTACATGAAGGGCACTATGTGAACATCATGAATAAATCCTTCTCGGAAAAGAGGACAGATTCCCAACATAGAATTCAGATTTACTGTAGTTGCTTGAATCCGGATTCTTTCTTCCAAAGCTTGGTTTATCTGTTCCTGAGACCAGCCCTCAGACTTTCTTAACGTCTTCACTGGGCTGTCTGAATTGGTTGCAATCTTTTTGCCTTTGTATTGAGGAATTTCACCCATACTAGCAATAGATGAAATAATTTGTTGACTGGATTTCGTGAGTTAGAGGAGGAACCAGAGGCTCCTTAGGCAGATCATCAGGTTTCCTAATGGGAGAATCTTCATCGATTTAAGGAATCCTCAGAGTAGGAATAAGTGGGAGCATAGACTGAGTGGCTCGGAAGGCATCAACAGTCAGCTTGTCGATTCCTCGACATCGTTTAAACGCTTCATGTAAGCATGTAGGCCAGGAAACCGAGGACCATTTCTTCTTTTTTGCTTCATAAATAGGTTTCATCGATTGTTCACTGATGGCTTGAAGTCCTAAGACTGCATATTCAGTTAAGTATTCTTCTTCTTCATCATCTTTCTCAATAGGTTCAAGAATTTCAATCGCTCCATGAGAAGATTCATCATGGAGCGTAAAATCTGAGATAGACTTCCATTGAATTTTTATATCTCTTTCTCTTTCTCTTACTTCTCTTACTTCTCCCCTTCTTGCACTGGAAGGCCCTGCATCCGATGAAGTCTATCTTCACATTGAAGTTCACTCAATCGTTCAAATACTCTTTGGAAGCTCATATTGATTTGTTTGGAGAGAGAATCGTACGCCTCGACAGTAGGAACTTAAGTCTTGAGATGGGTGAAAATTTTAACAATAATGAGGAGCATTGCATCGAATTTATGGTTTGGAACTTAAACAATATGACAGGTTGCTCGGAGGAGCTTGATAAGAACATGTTGCATAATCATATTCATTTCATCCTTTTCCAAATCTCCTTCTTTAGTCTTTGAATTTGTTTCTCATGACGGATATGATTTTTCTTGATGAGTTCATTGGTAGCACTAATCATATCGTCATCAATCATGAGCATAGTGGTGGTGTTGGAAATGTGATGATCAAGACTGTCGATATACTTCTGTTCAACTTCTTCAAGAGTGTGCTTGAATCGAAGAGAAATGAGTTGGTCGAGTTTATTGGCTCGTTCAATTTTTGAGGGACCGACATCTTTGGTCTCGGAAAGATATTTGAGTATGAGCTCTAGCTTGGAGTCAAGACTTGTGACTTTTTTTTATCAATCTTTGAATAAAGACGAGCAACTTTCTGATCGAGGGAGTCAACTTTGGAAATAGTAGAAGCAACATTGTCTAGGAGTTCTAACAAGGCAAAAGGATTTGCAATGTTTTCATCAAAAGATCCTATGTCCAAGTTAGAACTCTCTAACTTCCTGTCAACATCATCATCTTCATCATATGGTTTTGAGCGCTTGGCTCCATCAATCAGATTATCTTGAGCTTTGGGAGAGGAGTTCTTGTTTGCTTGGTTATATTCTTCTCCTTCCTATTCCTCGGAGGATGAGGAAAGGCCGAAATCATAAAATAGTTTCGAAGAAGAAGGCTTATGCAACATATTGAAAGTACTTGGAATCGAAATGGCATCAACATTTATATTGTCATCTCTGAACATGACATTATCTGAGAGATCTTTTTCATAGGGAGGCTTATGAGCTTCTTCACTTGTACATTTCATAGGAGGATCATCCAAAACATTTGTGGGATCGGGAACATCTCCTGTAGCAGTTTGTTGAGCTTCTTTAGAAGGATTGAACTCTTGATCAATTTCTGCATCTAATGGAAAAGTGAATGGAAGATGACGTCGAAGAGCTTGTTGACACATAGAGATGAGTGTATACTCTACTTGTGCTCTTGTAAGCTTCGAATATCTACAATGAGCCCTATCTAAAAAATCAGACCAATCTTTGCCAAAAATACTCGATCGTCCTTTACCCGAAGCAGGTATCAGACCGGTTGTGGGTTCAATAGGAGGGACTGCTCCAACTTCGTAAAGCTTAGAATCAGAGGCAGGCACCCCTGATTTGCATGTGAAGAAAAGAGAGGGATTTCCAAGTTGACTCGTGGGTCTACCCCAAGGGGGCCAAAGGACTTTGTTCAATACCAGCACCATCTTTTTAAAAAGATGGGGGTAGATTATGTGCAGACTCCCTATGAGAGTGTACATGTGATATTGAAACTCCGAAGAGTACTTCAGAAGAGTGGATGGAAGGGGTAGGTAGAAATCCAGAGTCAGATCAAATGCCAATATGTGAATCATTTTGAGAAGGTTCACTGGCTTTAGTTACTTTTCTAGTTCAAACTTTGGAAGGGGATCTCTTACGCTTTTCCATTTGTTTCTTTCGTCCACCAGAAGAAGAAGTGGATTTGTTCGCATCCGAGGGCTGAACATACGATACTGTGGTAGATTGTGTTGGGTTGTACACAACCGAAGTCTCTGTATGGTGTTTGAGATAAGGTGAGACGAATGGAACAGTAGCTAACATATGAGTGGGAAAACGTCTAACAAGTCCAAAAGCATATTGGTATGGTAACCTATAAGTCTTAATAGTTTAAATGAGCAACATACCTCTTTAATGTCGAAGTTGAGTGGAATAGCTTTGAGGCGTTCGAAGTAGATTTGTTGCAGTATCAGAGCCCAAAATCTCGGACTTGAGATTTCATTCGATTTTCTCTTGACAGCGAACTTCTGAAATTCCTTCCACAACACATCGGTTAGGTCAACAACATTGTTTTTTCAGGAGAAGATACACCACGTACAACCAGTCCTTTCTCGTTGTGTTTGTGCCACCATACTTGTGGACATTCCACGGAGAATGAGATGCATCAGTATGGTCCATAACCCAGGAACTACAGATTTCTTGAACTCTTTGGCCTTGAACTTGCCGTTAAACCCAATTTGATTGAGAAATGTCTGGAAATCTTCAGATGTGGGTTCTTGAACACGAAAATCCTTGCGGTTTTCTGGGATGCCGCTAGCTTTGAGAAAAGTGCTTTTCTGAACAGGAACAATTTTCTCGTCGACGATCTTCACTTCCAGACCATCATCTTCAATCGTGATTATTTCAAAACCTTTGTGGAGAATGCGTAGAGGAAGTTTAGGGTTTAAAGTTCCTTTATTGATAACCTTAAAATTCCTTTATCGTTGATAATCTCAGAATAATAGGATTCTGACACATCACGTCATAAGATACTTCGAGGAGAGGATGAAAACATCATGTGTACATAATATAGAGTTCAAGATGGCACAATCCCAAACTGAATATTAGATGTAAGAATGCATGAAGATCTTAGAGGAAAGGTTTCAAAAAGATTTAAGGTTCGATAATTGAAAGAGCAGATCTCGGAGGAAGATAAAATGAGATTGTGTTATCGTTTCAGGTTTAAATTCCAAGGTGAACTTCAGGAGATGTTATTTCGAGGTTGAGAACTCTGATATGAAAATTTCTCAAGATATCCGATGTGACTATATCGAACTGAACTTCAAATGACAAGGAAAGCTGAAATCTTAAGACTTAAAGAACGATTAGAATAAAAGACACATAATGATCCTTTATTTTCTGAAAGAAACAATTCCGAGTAGAAAACGAATTTGATTTGGAATTATTTGACTTTATAATGTTTCGATTAGAGATTACAAACTTCTTGGAAGAATGGAGGATCAAGCATCATTATTCCCAGTTTTTCAGAAACCCATTAAATTTGTGTTGAAGATAATAGAGCCGTCATCTCTTAATTGACGTATCTCAATATTTATTACCTTTGCCCTAATTCAATATATTACAAGTCTGATCTTTGAACAGGTTATTCGATCAATTATGGACGAGTCTCAATCCAATCCCATCAACATTTCAAACAGCATTGGATCAACGACAAAGATTCCCATCCTCTACACACATGATTATGAAGTCTGGGCGAATCACTTTGAAGATTATGTCATAGGATCTAAGGATAATGGATACCTCATCTGGGAAGCAATTATCTCTGGACCGTTTTCTCATTCAGCAACTTCAAGGATTATTAAAACTCAAAAGGAGTATAATGATCTCCTGAAAGATGTTAAAGATGTAGCGCAAGATGAAAAAGTTAAATTTCAGTGCAATATCAAAGCGCTAAGATTGATTAGATTTGCTCTTCAATCCGATACCTTCAAGCTGGTAAGTTCATGCACAACTGCTAAAGAGATATGGGACAGGCTACATGAATTGTACTCTACAGATGAAGACCTTGAACACTCCATTCAAACCTTACTTCTGTCTGAGTTTGGTGAATTCAAGCAAGGAACCGAAGAAACAGTGACTCAAACGTTTGATCGCTTCAATCATCTTCTTAGCAAGATGATCAAGCATGACATCGAAAGAAAGCTGATTGAACAGAAGGTTACTTTTTTAAATGGACTCAGGTCTGAGTGGAGAGCAATTGTGTCCACAGTTAAAGCACACGAGCAATTCAAATCCTATTCTTTGGCGAAACTGGTGGGTATTCTAAAATCTCAGGAAAAGATCGTGCTGCAGGAGAAGACCGTGGTTTCAAGTCTGGGTTCATTAGCACTCCTGTCGAAAAGCAAAGCTGTGATAGAGGACGAAGATCTCAACTTGGATGATTATGATCTCACATCTGAAGACTATGCTATGATGGTGTCAAACCCTAAGAGATTCATCAAGAAGAAATTCCCCACCAATAGGAACCGAAACTGGCAAGGAAGCTATAGCACTGAAAAGGTCAAAGATGAACCGAAAGCTGAAGAAGCAAAGAAGGAACCGAAGGCTGAAGGAGATTCTGGAGTGAGCTGCTATTATTGTGGAGGAAAGAACCACTACGCAAAAGATTGCGTCCTCAAAAAGATGGCAGAAAAGAATGAAGAAAATGATGAAGAAGCTGTGTTGATGAAAAAGCTTGATGAGTTAAGGAAGAAGAAATCTGCTGCTAACCCTTCCATGAATGCTTTAATTGTGCAGGGCTCTGTAGCTGATGATGAGTTCGGTGGCGTGGAGGTTTGGTCAACCGACTCTGAAGATGATGAAGTGAGGAAGCCTTCACATGGAAAGGCCTATGTAGCGAAAGAAGAGAGCAGTGGAGGAAAATGCTTGATGGTGTCTGACGTTTCGCAGATGAGAGGATACAACACAGATGGTGGGAATGATGACAAAGAACAACAGAATCTGTGCTTTACCGCCAAACCACTCAGCGAGCAGTTCAACGAACTTGATGAACTGATCAAGAAGGTACAATCAGTTTTTGTCTCATTTAAAGTCCCACAATGTTCATATGAAAAGGAATTAAAAAGTGTTAATTCAAGAATCTCTCATCTAGATAGTAGCTTAACTCAAACTCGGGTCACCAATTCTAACCTAACTGATCAATTAAGCAGGGTGTCTTCGAAGAGTGAGGAACGGCGGATGTGGATCGAACTGAAGGAGTCAGAGTTAATCAAAATAAAAGATGAAAACATCTATTTGCAGAGAGATAATTTAAAGCTTTTGAAACAGCGAAATGTTTTTTGTCTGATTGCCAAACGTCTTTATACTAATATTACTCAGCTTCATTTAAATTGTGAAATAGGTCAAAAGATTCATCGCATGATTTTACCCTTTCTTGAGTTTAAGGAAGATGAAATTGATGCTGATGCATTCAATTGTGAGAGTATTATTTCGTCTGAGATGTTAATCCAACATATTTATATGGACTGGACAAAATTGAATCTTTCATAAAATCCAAGGACCACAAGAATATGCTCAAAAATCTTTTGGATGAAAATGATAAACTGAAGCTTAGAACCGAAACTATACAAAAATTTGACTCACTGAATGTCAACTTGAGCTCGGAAAATAAAATTGATGTTGAAAATGCATCTGAGCTTAATGAGGACGATAACATGAGTGAAATTTCTGTAGAAGACACAGTTGATTGCTCAGAATTTGTCAAAAATGAACCCGAGAACCACAAAAATCTATCTCAGAAAATTCTGTGGAATTCGCTCGGTTGTCCCAACAACAGTCCCCGATTCTTGTAGAGAAGGCAGTTGTATATCAAAAGGTTAGGACCACTCCGAATCAGGTATACAAAGTCACTGGTGTTAACCGAACATCAGACTGCTGAACTAACAGCTATTGTGAACGAAGACAATGCTGATGGGTGTGATGAGTTCTTCTGGTCGGCTCCTATTGACAATGCTGATGAAACGGTAGGTCTGTCTGAAAGGACTTCATGGAAAAGCAAAGGCAGATACGTTCCAGAACCTTTAAATAAACCTGATTGCTTTAACGTGGCAAGTACCAGTGGAACGAAAGATGTTCCTCAAGAGAAAGAAATTCCTGCAAAAGAAGTCAAATCTCCAAGCAAAGCAACATCGGATCAGAGTGTTTCAACTAATGAACATAAAGCTAACGTCCATCATCAACCAAAGCAGATGAGAAGTCAAAAACGGGAAAGGAATCAGAGATACAGAAAAATCTCTCCGAAAGAAAACAGTTTTGGCGATCGCAAAATGCCTATTTCTCACATCAAGACAGGAATTTAAAACCAGCGAAAAATCCTGATGGATCGACGGAGAGCAACAATGACCGAACGCAGAGTCTCGGTTCTGAGCAGAACAACAACCGAAAGCAGAGGTTCGGTTCTAAGCAGAACAACAACCAAAAGCAGATGTTCGGCTCAGCGCACAACAACAACCGAACGTATAGATTCGGTTCAGAGAATGATTTCAACCGAAAGCACAGGTTCGGTTCGGGAATTAAAAGAGGTCAAAACTCTAAAGGTGGTCCTTCCGTTAATCAAAAGCAAAAGAGTTACCCAGTCTCTTCTCGTACTAACACTTCTAATTCC